AGTCTCAAAAAGATGCTTCGTCTCATTTTGACACTTTCTAGACAGTTTTAAAATTCCGAGTATTGTTATTAATGTTAATGACTTTAGGCTTTAATAGTCATGACTTACACTGAATAATGATAATAGTAATAAGGAAATCAGTTTCCCATTTCCCATTTATTGGATTGTTGTATCTGTAATCTGTTCACCAGAGTTTAATATTAGGTGGAAACTGTTTATGCTTGCTGTAATGTCACATTTCCATTTTTCGTCTAATTGCCGACCATGAATTGGGTATTTTATTTTCTAGGCAGTAAGATAAACGACTGAAACCTGACTTATCCTGCAATCTTCACAATGGAAGAGTGGAATGAAACTTGTGGATGAAATTGTGGGTGATTGCTATTTTAACTGACAGTACCGTATCAAAAAACGTAATGAACCTGCACAAATTTTCTGTCCGGTGATTACAGTTAAAGACTACATACAGCACCACCATGCGTTTTATGACTTTCCTCTTTCTTGAGGGCAAATTTTAAGAATAAACTAAGTGGAAATCCTGCTTTTTAATTGCCTTCATTAATAAATGGCAGTTTTTAGAATAAAATCATTCTTTCCTGACAGTCCATGAGTTTGACAATGACTAGAGCTCTTTATTATAGCCACAGCATAAAGTTGTAACGTACTGGGTATAAGTCTCTTATTCACTTAACATTCTTCCACATTTACAAATATCCATTTTGGAAATGTGATACTTTGTAATGAATGGTATGTTAAGCGACTATTGGCTCCACTCACAAACAGTTCTGATTACTTAGCATTTTACATAATGGAGCCGCTTTTTAATTGTAGTTTCTAACATGCTGACAGGTGTAATACTTCCATCCTAAAGATTTTATTTCTAGCATGGGTAAAAAAATATTAAGGCTTTCAGTGGTCAGAATCTTTTCTGCTATTCCATTTATTCTGCCATTTGTACAAAAACTGTTATAACTACTTAACATTCTTAACAGAGACATCGAATTTGTTTGGAAACATTTTGATGTCCTCCTTAAACGCCATTGTGCTCACATTAAGTGAAAACACAACTGAAGAAAATAATACTGGAAACAGAGAGCAAAAGTCTTGTTCGCCAATTCAATATGTATTTCGTAATCAATATTAACTGATGTTATTAGATGGTTGGAAGCAATCTGCAGGAAGCCTTGGACATAGGTTTCGTGCTAGCTGGCACTCACCAGTCAGCAAGGCGCATCTCCAGCCTTGAAGGAACTAATTTCCTTTCCGACATTCGAAACTGTGTCACCCAGTGGCTTCAAAGTTGCAGACACGCCGTGCTGACGAGTGCTAACTAGCACCAAACCTAGATAAGGCAAGGCTTCCTACCGATTGCCTCCAACCATCTAATATCATCAAATCAGTGTGCAGCGTGATGGCGAGCTACCTAGAATGGTGGCCACATTGAAAACCTGACTGACAGAATTCAGTATGTACCAAACAGCACGGACTAGACACACCACACTAGTTACTAGTGTCAAATGAAAATAAATTGATGTTTTTATCATTAGTTTTTCATCCCGACGTACTACATTTTCTGCTTCAGTCAAACAATCTTTCCCTTCGTTTTTCTTGATATTGCACTTTACGCTGTTTATAAATAATCCCATACGTTGTTAACAAAGGAACCTTACCTTATTCATGTATAAATATACTTGATATTAGCAGGTAATGGGATAAATACTTAACGCAATGCTCATCCTTCTTAATTTGACTGGTAACATTCAAAATTAGAAACCATTACATCAAACAGTAAGTATATAAGGTTCAGAAATCTGTCAAATTATAGTCGCCTCGTTTTTAAAAAATGTAATTGATGAACTAGAATTGTGCTGTTGATACATGGACGATACATTCTTGATTATAAAAAGTGGGGATGAAGCAAAAAACATCCTGGACAAATTTAACGATGTTCATCCTGCAATAAATCTTTCCACTGAGAAATAAAAAGACTAGTATTTCATTTTTAGACATCCTTATGACCAGAAAAGACGATAACACAATAAGAAGTGTATATAGAAAACCTACATCAACTGAACAGTTTACTCATTTTTTTATTTTCGTGCCTCTGAAACACAAACGCAATCTAATAAAGTGCTTGGTCCACAGAGCGAGAGAAATCTGCTCTAGTGAATGTCTTAATGTTATGGCTTAATGTTATTAAACAGTTTCTGAGTAAAAACGGTTACCCAGAAAAATTCATCGATAAGAATATGAATCAAAAGTTGAGGTAGGCGAAAGCAGCAACCAACAGTTTCGAAACAACCCTTATTCTTACAGCTTCACTTCCTCGGGGATAACATCAGTAAGATATTAACACAACGCCTACGGAATGCGGTAAAAAGAGCATTCAGTGCTGCTGAATTGTGCTGTGTCTTCAAACTTCCTCTATTTTGCGCTCGGCAGTTAAATGTGAGCTGCATAATTTCGCCTCTTCTATGTGTATCCACCAATTTGACTGCTCCTGTGGAGTCGATTACACACGTCGTACAATGAGGCATGTTTGTCGTCGGATTTCCGAACACCATCCTGCTTGGTTGAGTAAGGGACAAACAAAATCCATTTATAGTATTACACTATCTCATCTCGTGGATACAGAACACAAGACTGATATTAACGAAGTCATCTAAGTCATCTACCACATACCAACTAATCTTAGCTTCACCTTAAGAGTTCGTCTACTACATATTTCTGAGGCTGTTGGGATCTATATTAGAAACCTAACGTATGTATCCAAAAGAAGTTGGTTCAGACACTGTCCTTACCATGGCTATCAAGGTTTCAATGATCCTCATTTTGTTGTGGGAATTTCCTTAATTTTATTTGATATTCTGTTCGCTACCATATTTTTATGTTTATAACTTAAGCGTCTTTCTTGAACTATAATTTCATTGATCTTAACAAATCGATAATATTATTTAAAAGGACGACGAAAGCTCCGCAACTATACCAACCAGCTCAGAGAACACTATTAATTGCAAATTATTTAAAAACAATGGTATTGTTATTGACGATTATTCTAGGATATTCCATGTGCGTCAGTGGCACAGTGGTTAGGACTCTCGCCGACCATGCACATGGTCCGGGGTTCGAGCCCGTACCGACGCACATCTGATATCTATGGTCGACCTGCAAAATTTGGGCTACCGATATCCATGCTGAAAATTCCATACTTGTAACAAAAATACAGTGTGGAATCAAGCTGTAAATCAAAAATAAAATAAAAAAATAAATAAAATATATATATATATATAATTGTACAACCAAAAAAGGAAATTATCGAAAAGGATGTTCTTTACTCAATTTTTTTTAGGTTTTTCAAGTTCATTTAAGTTATTATTAGTCAAAACTATTATCGCCATTCATTCGTTCATATGCAACATGCAGCCTCATTATTTGTAATTTTGTAGTCACCGTCATCTTGACTACCATTTTTAGTATCAAGTATATTGCATATTGCGATTCCAAAGAAAACTGTGGTAAAATTTCGCCGAAATTGAGCTGCATAAATTACAAATTACGAATCTGATTTATGTATGCTACAGATCAGCTTTATTCTATTATGGATACAATTTTATTTTGATAAATCACACAGTGTTATACAGTAATATTTACTGATGACCACTTCTTGAGCACAAATAAAATTGGACGAGAAATAAGATGCTTTTATAGTAAAATCAAAAACTTGTTAGAATGTTACAATGTGAACTGAATACATTTTAACATTATTTTATTATTCTCTGATTCGACTGGTCGTAATAATATCTTCCATATCTCTGGTATTTGTTCATTTTTATCCTTGTTCACCTTTTTAAGAAATTTTCATCTGTAAATATTGAAGAAAATTGGTCTCCCTAAAAGGATTCAAAATATTTTTTATTTCGAGAGAGTCTTTTAAAGTGGAGTAGGTATGCCACAACACAAAATAAATTATTCCCTAAATGAAGTATGTAGTGTAAATGAAATACTGAACTTTTGAATAGGGGAGAGTTCAATTTATTTTGTGGTTCACTTCTTCATACACTTATAAAATTAACACAGCAGATAAAAAAACAACATTAAATATCTGGATATCAAACCAGCTTCAAGATGAACACTCTGGTGTATTAGCAGAAAGTTAACACCGACTTAGTCGATCCATTCTCATTTGAAGAAAGACAGTTAAAAGTATTACTGTTTGGATTGCACCAGAATACTAAGAATTAAAGGTAGTGAAAAATCAGGAAATATGAGACCTTCTCGTAAATTGTCCAGACACTAGAATTTTCGGTCATTAGCTTCATATGTTTTGGTTCTTTAGGTGTCGTCAGGTTTTAGGTAAACACTGGTGGGCCTTCTGGTTACAAGGCGACCTTGTAGACCATTAAGCCACTGAGACCTGATCCGATTGCCCAAGAATTCCAACTTCTACCAATTCATGACATAGCCTGACCGATTCACAGAGTCTTCTTCAATGAGTTACTGCCTCAACTTCTAACCCCGGTGGGTGCTCACTGATGAAGACTTCAAAACTAGGACGAAACAACTGTCCAGTACTCCCAGGTTTTCCTGTGTTTCTTTAAGCAATGTCAGCTTATGATGAAATCCGATAACCAATCAGCCAACTCCCTACAAACCAATACTTGAAAAATGGTTTAAGTGCATCAGTTAACTGTATTAAAGTGCTATGAGGACGTAATATGCTAGGATGTCTTTTGTTTTGTTGAGCTTCAATTTTGATTGCTTTACATTCTATTTAATGTAGTATTGTAGAAAAAACATTTTACATTTTGCTTGATTCACTGGTAAGTGAACTAACTACAATTTGTAACTCTGCCCAAATAAACCCATAATATCTTAGCCAGCTACTTTGTTTGATGGTAAAGATACCCCTTATTTCTTAAATGACGTCTTTTAAATTTGTACATACTTACTAATTTTTTTTGTAAACTCGATAATGTGCTACTTTAATTAATACATTTTAGATTTTGCATATCAACTTTACGGAAAAATTCACGGATTACAAGCTAATCAGTTAGCAGATAGTTCACACATTAACCACTGCTTACCATCTTCTTTTCCCGTGTGTGATGATTCAAGGACAATTCACATATTACGTAACTTCAAAAATATTTTAGCTGACCAGTACGCTGAGCAACCAGAATCACTGCATACAAGTGGAGAAATAAAATCATCTCAGCTACATAAAGAAGATAAAAAATCAGAAATGTTTTCTTTACTTCCTTCTACATTATGCCCTGCGAATGATAAAGGAATTGGTGATATTGTTAATTCGAATATGGGTAACTATGGTTACCACTGTCAACAAGAAACGGCTGTAAATAAACAAAATCCATCAGAATTAAAAAGGCCAACATTTATGCTTTCAAGTTTATTGGAAAAGGTGACAAACAATGCAGGTGAAACTGATTCGCTCAGTGAAACAATGGTAACATCTACACCTTACGCAAATATATTAACAATGACGTCATCAGTATTATCTCAGAATAAACAGGCATTTAATTACTCGTCCTCTTCATGTAGTCAATTAAATCAAATGACATCAATATCTAATCAACTGACTGATGATAAGGTGAAAATGTCACACATATGGAACGCAATTAAACATTCATTTTCATCTAAACCGACGTCATCAATCTCTTCGCCTATGATTAAAAGTACAACGATTACTTCTTCAAATAAAACCAACACAAGGAACCAGACATCATCTTTAGATTTATCGGGACAAAGTACATCTGTGTTTGAAAATGGACTACATTCGTTATCACCATCACTATCGCCATCAGCAGGATCAAAACAAAATCAACAACTTTATGACGATTATATTGACCAAGATATTCAGAAAAAAGACAACACTTCTGAAGGTAATAATTTTCAACACTTTTCAGTGCTGCCTACATTTTCAAGATCATCATCTACATTCTACTCCCCTTCAACTTACTGTTCACCTAATCCATCATGTTTGAATTCACCAACCTTTTCAGCTGTTTCAAATTACGATTTTCGTGATAGACATATGATATTCAATCATACAGTGTATAATTCAGTGCAAGAATCTGATGAACACAGATCATGGGACAGTATGAAAAATGATATTTCAGTTTTGGAAAACTGCATGTCGGATTCCCATAAACATACTGGGGAGAATAATATGAATAGTGATGGTGACAATGACGATGATGGTGATAGTAAGATTCCTATGGAAGAAGGTTCAATGAACTGACTCACATTTTAAAAGCCCGTAGTGCAAACTTATTGTCATCAAGGCAACCTTTCAAAAAATCTTTAAACACCTTTTTAAGGAATCCATTTTACAGAACAAAATATACGCGCCTAAATGTATTGTCATATGCCCTGTAAGAATTACACAAAATCCTTCAGGGAATACTGAATTTCTTGTTTTCAAATCTATAATAATGATTAATCACCACTGATTACAATGACAATGAGAATTATTTACCCTACTAAGTGTATTCTAAAAAGAAATAAATATTTATTGTTAAATAAATTAAAACAATGTTTGTTCACTTTTAACATTTCAATGTTTCAATTACACAAAGATTTGTGATATCTGGTGAATTTATTACCAATGATAGATAAATAATTGTTTTAAATTTTGAAAACCTTTTGTTTTCACTTTCTGCATCAGAATATAACAAAGAAGTATACTGTGACTAGTTTTTACTTCCTTTTGTACAGTTTAACGTCTCCTAGTTTAAGTTTCAAAGTTACATACAAATGAATGAAAAATAAACTGAAATTATTACTATTCTCTTAATTTACTGAACTATAAAGTTAATACACTATATTATTACTATTATTACTGCTATTGTTAGTTTTATTATCGAAATATATACTAAATATTTATGGCAATTGTGTTATATAAATTTTTCTGCTAAACTAATGGCTTTGTGCCCAGAGATGAATCACGACATGGTCCCTGAAACATTGTATTGGGTGAAGTAAATAGCTTGATGGCAGAATCTTTGACTTCAGTATTAATCTGTGATGGACAAAACTTGCTACACAATCCAGTTTCCACTAGAATCGTACCTAATTCCTACTTCCAGAAACGATATCCATGCCATGACAAACTTCTCCTAAATTCAAACTAGTCTGATAGTTCATTCATTTTAAACAAGATTTATACATATTGCAAAATATACGATGGGGAACGAGAATCTGATAAGTAGGTGTATGACTGAGCTAGTAAGTAAGCTGTATCTCTGAATAGAAAAAATTGTTATTTGGATTTCGGAGTTTACATAACGCATATGAACATCTGTTTGTCACGAGGTGCTGTGGTAAAGTCTGTGAAGATAATGCCAAGAAAGTATACTTTACTTAACAGACACTCTGTTCTGTAATGTCTTCGAGATTTAAAGTAGCTGCCATCTGAAATGATGGCAGCAACGTTTTTTCGTTTCCAATATCCACTGTCATCATAGATAACTTCGATGTCTGAGGGATCTACTTGTTACCTGGAGAAATACTCACTGATGTAGCTGCTAGGGGACAAAATACAAAGTCTTCTGAGCACTTTGGTCAGAAATTTTAATGCATTTGGCATGCAGTTCCCTCCTGTCACTGGTAAAATATTGCTGCACTGACTCCTAGTTTAAAGACAGTAAGTGGAAAGGCTGGTCATGTTGACCACTTCCTTCAATTAGAAGTCGCATAAAGCCTACTGAACTGATTACTGACGAAGCCTCTGTCTGGATACAAAATCTTTGTCTGGCATTTGCCAGTTTCTGTCACGTTTTGCCCATGTATGTTGTGCTATCCATCTAAAACGTGTGTACTGTACAGCAGTTAGTCGTATCCTAACCTATCGCTGTGAGATGTGGGCACTGAAGGTGGTAGATGTGCAAAATTATTTGTTCCGATAAAAGATGTTTCCATTTAATTTCTCCTGTTAGGTGGTATAACACAATCATTACCAATGTGATTAAACCTAAGATATCAAATAAGAACAGAAAGTCAGTCGACGACGTCAAACTCTCTTGATTATCCAACAGCCTTAATCAATAAGCATTGTTAATGGATAATTTTTACTGTATTCATTTGGTAGAAAACAATGATAGCTTGTTAGTCATGACAGATTTCATGAATGAATTGAATTTTACTTATTTCAAAAATTAGATTAATTTTATATGATTGGTCGAACTACAAAGTGGCCAGATTTTATCTCTGTCTCTTTCTGTCAACTCACTGAATTCCTATTTGTGGGTATCTATTTCTATTTGGATGCTGATTTCTGTTTCGCTTGATGCAATATTCCTAAGGTATAATAGATTCTTCAGTGCTACACTGTTTGATTGTTATATTACTGAGCATATTCATATTCTCTGAGAAGGTTTTTATATATCTTTTCACTACAGTTAGTTTTTCAATAGATAGACTTGTTTAGAATAAGTCCTTGTAAACTTTTCAGCTAAACCGTTCTCTAGTTGTCCTCCAATGGTTTTAGAGTATGGCCCAATAAAGATTCAAAACTTGTTAGTCTTCACGTCAAGCCTAAAAAGACTACAGTATGTTTAGCTAAGAGTTAATACAGTGACTCACATTATACTGAAGAAGGATTTGACGAATATTATGAAGTCATATTACACTTCGTCGTCAATGTGAACTGATATGTAGGTGGAAGGAATGAATGTTTATATTATCCTGTCTTTTCTCAATCCGGCTTGTTTACCCTGTTCATAGATAAGTGAGTATACGTCAAATTTAATTAGTTAATATTTCACCTTTGAATACTATGAATGTTCAGTCATACCATAAATTTGCTTTAAAAGTCTATGACACTCCTCAATAAAATAAACTTATCTTAATGTGATCTCTAGACGGAAATGATTGGGGTTTTCTTAATTGGAATTGTTGACTCAACTATCCTACAGGTTTACGTCTTACGTGGATAACTTCACCTCAGAATGGTTGTTCTTCATTGCTTTCATTTAATCATTACAGTTCTATAAGTTGAAAAAGAAATGAGCACCTGAAATGAAACTAATCCTTGGTGAAAAAGTTGTACTATTTATGCTTATTCATGCAATCTTCTATGAGTCAGTGGAATACTAAGAGTGTTATACACTGCCTCATCTCCCTTCACAGTTATTGAGTACTAAGCTTTAGGACTTTCAATAACAGGTGAAAAGCTGAGATATCTTAACTGTTTGTTTGTCTGTTTTATTCAGCGTCGATCAATCAGTGAAGATGAGAAGAAACAGATGAAACTCTGAACTTTCTCTAAGCAGTGGATGTCTATAACGATGCATTATCATGCCAAATTTTTAAAACCAACCTTCAAATTCTGATTTTCATTAAAAGTATCTGGGTGGATTTCTGTTATAGGGAGTATAAAAAATTAAGTGTCTGATGCAATCATAAGCGGATCAAACTCTACCTGAGAAAATAACTGACTACATAGCTGATACTACACTCATCGGTTTCATGCACATACTTCCCTTAGAAATCGGAATAGGGCGAAAACAAACATTTGAGCTGTGTAACATGTATTCGTGAGTTCTTTTCAGTTCTTGCGAAAAGAAAACTGTTGGGAGTAGCAACAAGAAAAAAATAAGATATTACTTAAACAACTGCACAATTTAGTAGTCATTGCGTAATAGGCGAACCTCTGTTGTAATTATATATATATATATATATATATATATATATATATATATATTACACCTCAATATAACATATCATTCCTATGTTTTACTTGACTATACATTCGTTGAGAGTTGAATCCTTATAATTTTAACAAACGTTGAAGGTTGAACCTAACTATAAAAACACAGGAAATAAACTGGATCAATAGCTTTTCTTACAATTGTTGAGTAAGCTGAGAAGTCAAGGTGTCTTATATACTGAATAATGCTATGAATTCAACTGATCACATATCATCCGTTTAAAAATATTCTCATAACTTCCCGGTTTGATTTTATAGTAATTTCTTTTGGATATCTGAAGCAGACTTTGAGTTATGTCTATTGTAAGTCTTCAGTGTGGAATGAAGAAGTACAAATTCTAATCTAGATTTATTTTTTATTCACAAAACTATAGTTATACTTTTGTCAGTCTCTCTTACCATTCAATTAGATTAGTTGTAAAGTATGTCATTACATCCCAACTAATCACCCGGCTGTGTTACTGCTTGTAAAGCATAGAATGGTAGTCAAACCTCCACCTGAATTTCATCGACTTCAAAAAGGCTTTCGACAGTGTTGATGGAGAAGTAATTTGGACACTGCTTCAACACTACCGTGTACAATGCCTAAATCTTTATCAGCCTCACTCAACAGCCGTATAACAATGCCACGTATCAGGTGATCAACAAAGGTAAACTCAGCGAAGCCTTTGAAGTGAATACAGAAATAGGAGACGGCTGCCTACTATCAACAATGACATTCCTGATTGGAGTGGAATGGATTATGCGTCAGTTCGTGCTTGGAAATGAGAATACATGGATTCGCTAGACCCTCGATAAGAAGAGTCCAGAAAATCTGGATTTTCCGCTTGGATGATTTATGTTTAATGTCACACAAACTTGAAAACTTCCAGACAAAAACCAACAAACTGGCACAAGAAGCAACAAAGACACAACTCCAAGTGAATACAGGGAAAACGGAGATGATGAAGAAAACTAACGAACAGCAATAACAACAACAACAAGCACCAGTCACTATCAACGCGAGGAATTTGAAATTCTTTTATTCCTTCATTTATCTAGGAAGCACTGTTCCAACAACAGCCAGAGAAGCGGATGAAGATGTCAAAACTGGTCAGCCAGAATCACTTTCACCAATCTGAAGTCAGTTCGGAAATCTTCTACACTCATCATGAAGAACTGGATTCGGATTCTCAACACAAATTTGTGGTCAGTCAGTTCTTCTATGTGGGTCGGGAACTAGTCGCGTGCATCATGGAAAGCATTTCCAATAGGCATCAAACTCCTATCAACAGCTACCTTCACTGGCTTCATACTGGACATCAGATGGTCGACCAGGGAGAAACTCTGGCAATGAAGCAATTAGGAACCTATCGTTCAACAAATATTGAAGGATGAAATGGAGATGAATAGGGCGCACACTGAGAAGACCGTCTGGGTGACATCGCGCACCAGGCCATGGCTCAAGTGGAATCCATAAGCGAAACGATGAGTGGGTCGTACTAAGGTGATATGGATGAGATCGTGTGAAGAGAAGATGAGAGATTATGAGC